ATATGTAAGTAACAAAGGATGCACCACCATATATATAAAGAATGTCTATAAATCAAGAAGGAAAAACCAAACAATCCAAATATTTAAACAAGCACTTCATAAAAGAGAATACTTAAATAGCCATAAACATACAAAATGGTACTCAACCTTGTTACTAATTACAAAAATGCAAAATAAAAACTACAATGGAAAGTGATATTAATAAAGAGAGAAATTATTAAAAGGAACCAAACAGAAAATTTGGAGTTGAAATGAAAAATGAACTAGAGGAGTTCAACCACAGATTTGAGGAGGCAGGAAAAAGAATCAGCAAGCTTGAAGACAGGTCAATTGAGATAATCCAGCCTGGGAGCAGAAAATAAAAAGAATAAAGAGGCCGGGAGTGATGGTTCACGCCTGTAATCCTAATACTCTGGGAGGCTGATGTAGGTGGATCGTTTGAGCTCAGAAGTTCGAGACCAGCCTGAGCAAAAGCGAGACCCTGTCTCTACTAAAAATGGAAAGAAATTAATTGGCCAACTAAAAATATATAGAAAAAATTAGCCAGGCATGGTGGCGCATGCCTGTAGTCCCAGCTACTCAGGAGGCTGAGGCAGGAGGATTGCTTGAGCCCAGGAGTTTGAGGTTGCTGTGAGCTAGGCTGATGCCACGGCACTCAATCTAGCCTGGGCAACAAAGTGAGACTCTGTCTCAAAAAAAAAGAATAAAGAAAAATAAGCAGAGCCTCAGAGACCTGTGGGACTCCATCAAGTATATTAGCATATGAATAATGGGAGTCCCAAGAAGAGGAAAGGACAGAGGAAAGGGAAGGAGAGAGACAGGGGCAAAAAGAATATAAGAAATAATAAAAGTCTCCCACATTTAATAAAAATATTAATCTGCACACATCCAAGAAACTCAATGAACTCCAAGTAGAGTAAATACAAAGGGATATATACCTAAACATACCATATTCAAACTGTCAAAAGAGAAAGAATCTTGAAACCTGCACAAGAAGCATTTGTCATATACAAGGGATCCTCAATAAGATTAACAGCTAATCTCTCATGACAAACCATGGAGGCCAGAAGGCTATGGGAAAAGATATTTAAGGTGCTAAAAGAAAAAAAAAAAAATCTATCAAGCAAGATTCTATATCCAGTAAAACTATGCACCAAAAATGAAACAGGAATTTATACATTCTCTGGGAGTTTGTAGTTAGCATATCCACTGTGCCAGAAATACTAAAGGGGGTCCTTTAGGCTGAAATGAAAGGACATTAGACAGTAACTCAAACCCACACAGTGAAAGTACATAGGTAAACATAAAAGACAGTATAAGTGTGTTTTATCTTTGGAACTCTTTTTGTTACCTATCTATCTCATTAATCATTATATTAAATGTAAATGGTTTAAACTCTCCAATTAAAAGCCACAATTGAAGGCCAGCTCCCACCTACCAAATTAACAGATTGACAATAATGGTCAAAACATGGAGCAACAGAACTCTTAACACTGCTGATGATAGTGTAAATTAGAACTACTTTGAAAACTACTTGAAATTGTCTAATAAAGATAAAGATACACATATCTGATGCCACAACAATTCCACCTGTGTAGATGTATACACAGTTGAAATACATGTATATATGCCAGAATGTTCACAGTAGCATTGTCCATGGAAGTCAAAAACAGAAAATAACCCAAATATAGAGTGGGTAAATAAAATGTACCACTACACATAACATAGATGAATCACATAACATAATGCTGAGAAAAAGAAGTTACACATAAAAGAGTACATCTTTTATGGTTCCACTGAGAGAAAAGAAAAAAATAGGCAAACTAAACTATGGTGTTTAAGAATATATGCTTAAATAGTTCATCTATAAAGAAAAGCAAATGGAGTGATTACCATAAAAGTTAGAAAGCTACATACTTTAGTTAAGGATGAAGAGTAGCTTCCGGGATGGTAGTCACGCTCTACTTCTTGAACAGGATTTTGGTACAGGTGTAATTGCTTTGTTATAATTCCTTGATGTATATGAATATGTATTTATGTAACTTTGTTCTATGCACTTTTATTCACGGACACTGTATATCACAGTAAAAGTTGAAAAAAACTTTAAGGTAGACCTAAGCAAAACAAAATACCTAAAGTACATGAAACCACATATCTAAAATAAACTATAACCTCACCTCTGAAAAATGCTTTTAGCAAATTAATAAACAGTGATTCAGCGCACCTTCCTGAAACACACTATGGTTTCTGACATAGAATAAAGGGAAATTGTGACACTATATTCCATATTGTGAATCCTGAGCTATTTAGTTCCTACAGCAGAAAAGCAAATTGACTCTAAGAGGCAGAGAAACGAACTCATCAGAATAGCTTGAGTACAAAATAAAAAGATAGGTAATTATTCTAAGAAGTAGCATCCTCTTCCATTTCTCTCCACAACCAACATCAGGTCTATAATATTTTTCACTACTGATACACCTTCCTGTGAGATCAGATAAAATGTCTCTCACACACACATACTCCTTTCCATGAAGAAACAAGACATTGTTCTGAGAGAGAAGAGAACAGAGATACAAATAACACTTCACTTTCTGACAGAATGTTGTATTTCTGTCACGGAAAGTGTTAACCATAAAAAACAGACACTTACTTGATCAAGATTTGAAAGGCTGTTAGGATCCTGACTCAGACCTTGGTACTGTCCCCTGAGTCTGTCACCAGCAGCTATTTTCCTAAACTTCTTCAGATCCACGACATACAGCGCACTGAATAGAGAAGACCCGTTTGTTATAAGCAACCATGGATTATGACAAAAAACTGAACCCACTGACTAATGGAATAATCACTAGACAAACATTCTGACTTCTCTTTGAAAAGGTAAAGGAAAGTTAATGGTCAGTAGGTGATACTTCAACAATATCTAAGAAAGTCAATGCAAAATCCCTATTCTGCCACCACTAGCTCACTTTTGTCACTGTTCCTTATTTAACTGCCTTCGAAAGGAAATAGTCTCTGACAAAAGATTTCTAGCAGCAGCAACATCAGTAATAAAAAGCTATAGAAACTGATAAATAACCATTAGTCGAGAATATCCTGAGGATATCCTTAAATGTTAGAGGGGGAAACCCCTAGTGTTACAGTTCTCTTGGATAAGGCACGTACAGTATGAAACTGAAACCACCAGGCCCAAACATTTATCTATACGGGCTGCCCTCTATAGCTCCCCTACCCTCCAAATCTTCCAAATCACAACTCTCCAGAGACAATAAAGGAGTGTTCATTAGAAATGCAATCGATGTAGACACTGCCTGACTTTAAGAGGTCTACTTTTAGGAAATTACCCTGTAAACATACCTGAAATATGCAAAATGGTATTTGATAATTATGTATTGCAACATATGTCATAGGAAAAGAATATAAATAACATTCATACACTGGACTAATATGCAGCTGTAAAAAAGAATAAGGTCCTTCGCCATATATTGATATAACAAGATCTATAAGTAAGACATTAAGTTAAAAAAGTAGCTTGCAAAACGGTATAAATACGGAATATATTTTGTGAAAAAAAGAGTTCATAACTGTAAGAAACTCTGGAAGTATAGATAATAGGGGAGGTTATCTGTTGTGGGGGTGAGAACTGGGTAGGAGAGAGACAGAATTAGGAAGATTATTGCTTATTTTTTATAATATTTATTTTTAAAACATATTAAGGTATTACCCATTCACAATTTTAATTTAATTTAATTCAGGTTAATTTATTTAGCTTTCTTTCTTTTCTTTTCTTTTTTTTTTTTGAGACAGAGTCTTACTTTGTTGCCCAGGCTAGAGTGAGTGCCATGGTGTCAGCCTAGCTCACAGCAACCTCCAACTCCTGGGCTCAAGCAATCCTCCTGCCTCAGCCTCCCAAGTAGCTGGGACTACAGGCATGCAACACTATGCCTGGTTAATTTTTTCTATATATATTAGTTGGCCAATTAATTTCTTTCTATTTATAGTAGAGATGGGGTCTCGCCCTTGCTCAGGCTGGTTTCAAACTCCTGACCTTGAGCAATCCTCCCGCCTCAGCCTCCCAGAGTGCTAGGATTACAGGCGTGAGCCACCATGCCAGGCCTTAATTAGTTTTCTTTAAATTAATTTTAAAGAAAAGAAAACCATACAACAGCGTGAGCAGCACCTGATATGATACTTCCGTCCGGCTAAATGGCTGGCCCAGTACCCTGACTTCCAGAACCTGTAGCCATCCATTTCTCGTCGGCTGTCGCAGAAAGGAGTATAGCCATAAGGGGCACCATCCAAATTGAAATCTCTTAACTCTTTCAGATCTGTTCGTACAATCTGGAGAAAAGAATATGAAAAGGCATTTGTTAAGCAACCATGCAAACAGCTCTAATGCAGTTTCCCCAAAATATAGAGTGCCTCACTGAAGGTAGCATGGAGGGCAGCTTAGTGGTTAACAGCACAGGAACTAGCAGGAGGCACGGTGTGAGCCTGTATTCCTCCACTTATTAGCTGGTTTCCCTCACTAACATGTGAGACCCTGAGCCTAGAATGTGGCACACAGTACTCCAGGTATTCAATGGGAGTAGAAATAGAACATATTTAAATTGCTTAGCCTCTCCGTACCTCCCTCATCTGTAATGTGGAGATAATGATAGCACCTAGATCACAAGGCTGTTGGGAAGCTTACATAAGTTAACACATAGATAGGTGTGGAACAATGCCTCACCTATCTCAGTGTTCAACAAGGATTTAATGTGGCTACGTTAGAATCAGGAGAGCATATTTCAGGCTGAACCAGCTGATGGGAATTTCAAAGTGGTGGGTAAACGTTTGTCCAAATGATGTATGCATACACTACATCACTTCCGCTCTGGCAAAACTGACTCGGGTTTCAGCCAGCTCAGGGTGAGGCGGAAGGCTGTGGGTAGAAGTGCATTTATGCTGTTTGAGTTTGTATACTCTAAAATCACAGTATGTTCCCTTTAATTAATTCAAACCCTGACAGCTGGAAGAGTACCTGCATTGTTCCCTATTATTGAGGCCAAGCATCCACTTGAGCTTTGTCTATCACCTATGCCAATAACGCCGAGCTTTTGGGCAGATCACTGGAGATGATGACAAGCACTCTTAAACCTTAATTTTTAACTTTTATGTTAAACGAATTAACTAAGATAAAAACCGCATACATGATGTTACCTCAACTATGTTAAAAAGACATAGAAAAGGAGATATAGCAAACACAAATTTAAGTGGTAATCACATCTGAGTGATACTTTCACATATTTTCTAAGTGTAAAATAAACGTGTACTTTTCCATAACTGGAAAAATATAATTTAAAAAGGAAAAAGAAGTCTGTTGCCTTTAATACAAACTATTACAATTGGATCTCTAGCCTGAGCAAGGGTGAGACCCCATCTCTACCAAAAATAGAAAAAATTAGCTGGAAATAATGGTACACACCTGTAGTCCCAGCTACTCGGGAGGCTGAGGTAGGAGGATCACCTGAGCCCAGGAGCTGGAGGTTGCAGTGGGCTAGGCTGACGCCATAGCACTCTAGCCTGGGCAACAGAACAAGACTGTCTGAAAAAACAAATCTGGCCTTTAAGAGCTTACCTGATCAGCATCCACAAATAAGAATTTGTCAACAACCAGTGGAAAAAGTACATCCAGGAAGAGGATCTTGTAACCCCAGATGATGCGCTGTTTTTCAGTTTGCTGATGAAGCCACCGGGGCCATTTATACTGAACAAGCTCATACTGGAAATTGTATTCATTTGCCATGTAAGGTATAAACTCCTATTTTTAGACACAAAGAACAACAAACAATCATTTCCTCTGATTAAGAAAACTGCATGAATAATGTAAGATAACCACCATGAATGCAGCACAAATAAAACACATTTACCAAAATAGTAGTCTAACAAAGAATTGGCCCAAACCCATTTGTGACTACATAAAGGAATACATATAAACTTTTGTCAACTCCACATTGTTTTTTGACTTCTGCTAACCAGATGAAATGACAGAAATCTTTAAGGCTTTTACATTTGTATCTGTGTATTCGTGTTTAAGGCACATGAACTTTAAGTCCATCTGTCTAAACTTAATTTCAGTAAAACATTTATTGAGCTTGATTGTAAGTCTTTCTCAAGACTAGATCTAACCCTGGAAATAATGTAGCAAAATCAAAACTTGGGACAAATTTGTTGCCATTAATGAATAAGTCTTTCAGATTCTAAATGCAAGTACCTTCAGGAGACCAGAATTGAATTACTTATCTAGGAGAGATGTTGCTGAATATATTAAATGTTATTTAGTAAATTCTACAGAAAAAAAAAAAAAAAGATGCAAATAAATCAATTTAGATGACAAATAGTAGCTGCTATACACAAAGCAGAAAACTTTCCAAGTGTGTTGTTTGTTCTGCACAGATGAAGGATTACTTCCATATATCATCTGGTAGTGGTTCATGATAAAATCAATCATTCTCTTCAATGTAAACCAGTACTGTGTTTGCTTTCTAAAAGTAAGGCATGCATGCTTCAGAGGAAGGGACTGCTATTTCATGAAAATAATGCTTCTAACAAAAAATACAGACTCTTCTTCCATATTATCCAAGCTTCAAATAGTCATAATTTTGTCTTTTGTTTTATGACAACTGTTCCTCTCAAACAGACCAAGCAGGGAGAATAATCTACATAGAAATATGTAACTAATTAGGGGATCCTAATAAACGGAAAATTTTTCAAAGTATACAGATAAAACAAAATAAGTAAAAAAAGAAATACTATAAGGAGTAATACTGTAAGGAGATAATACTATCTCTTTAATAAGAATGTTTTCCTGTTCCTTGTAAAACAAACCTTAAATGTGGGAGACAAATAATTCTTCAGGAACCAGAATTTCACAGGAGTCTTGGTATTCTTCAGCACTGATAGCATCATTATGCTGCCAAACAAAAGCAAATAATAATAATTTTCCAATGTTTTTAATTGCAACAGCATTAAGTAGTGTCAATCACAAGACAGCGAAATGTTCTTCACAGCAGAGCTAACTGATGGCTCAATTAGGCAGAGAGAAAGACTTGGTAATGGGACACTGTACTTATTCCTACTTACAAAGTTATCATTGAATGGTGGAGAAGGGACATTTCTTACCAATAAAAATATACTTAATTGACAGAGGCAAATGTTCTAATTCTGCTACACCTTTAAATAAACTGCTTTATGAACAGAAATACTGGAGGTTGTAACCACTGGCAAGTGCCAGCGGCAAGTGCCAGCAGCACGTGGCGCTGAGGGAAGAGCAAGAGCGGAGTGCGGCCCTGCGCGGCTGCTGGGGAGGAGAGCAGGCAGGCCTGGAGTTACCGGCTCAAGATTCCCTACTTTGAAAACAAACAAAAACAAATTTTGAGTAAAAGAATTCAGTTAAATTCAGCTGCTACTATCATCATTATTTTACCTCAGATGTTATTTCTGAAAATAGGCGGGCTAAAAATGAGTAAAACAACATTTTGATTATTTTCTAGACTAGATTTGTGGTAAAAAATAAAAGTGAAAAGAACCCTGGCAATTAGGAAAGCAACCCTCAGGCAAAGGTGTGCCTTCAGAGCTGAGCCCTCCTGATGCTGTGACAGGGGCTCCTGAGTGCCTTCCCTCCAGCCACCTTATCAACTGGCCCAAGCCTGTGGTCCCTCTTGGCTACAGCTGTGTGACATCTGGCAAGTCCCTTCACACTCTGGCGTGTTCACACTGAAGAACCAAGATCTCTCCTGGCTCTAAGACCCTATGAATCTTTAGATGGCAGTGAAGTGTTCCCCTTCCATGTTCTATGTGAACCTCCTAATTTCTGGTTTAGGCAATGCTTGGTAGCCAAGTAAATACCACTGTCTATAATGTGTGCAGTGATGTGAATGGTCTATAGCCTTGTATTAATAATATCCACACAAAGGAATTTACTACATAGCTCAACTTCATGGAGCTGACCAGAACAACACAAATACAATTACAGTAAGCTATTCACAGTCCTCAAGAGTGCTTCAAATACACAGAAGTATAATCGGTAGAATCCAACAAAACTTTTTTCCTTAAATAAGAATACTGTGGCAAATTCATTCACATATACCGAAATAATCAACAAGACTAACCGAAGAAATCTTTCATAGAGATGACCAGATGCAACAGAGAAAATATTAATTATGTCATCTTTATCTTGTTTCACTTCCTCAGTCTTCTGTCCTCCTGTAAAGCCCCTATAACAATAAAGGTAAAAACAAGGTCACCTGAAATGTCGGTACAGACACACAGGCCTCTAAGGAGAGAGGAAAGAGATGGTGCTTTTCGACCCCCATTCCTTCTCTAGAGGGTAGGATGCAGCCAGAGCAGTCCCAAAGCATCCCTCATACCCTGAGAGAGAGCACAAGGCTGGCAGAGCCACCCCACAAGGTACCAAGGAAGATGCTCACTCCAAGATGCTGTGCTACTATAGGAACAGGCTGAACATGGGCTGTACTACAGAATGTAATTTGTACAATGGGAAGTAAACTGAGCAATTACCAGTCAACCCTCAAAACAGCACACAACTGAATGAGACTCAAGTATGGAACGCAAGTAATGTCACCAGGAGGAGACATCACCCTCTTTTAGTTAATCATGTGGAAAATACCCATCTACTCCAAATATGTATGACAGCATAAGATTTGGCTGCACAAAGCAAAGGGTCAGACAGAATTACAAGAGTCAAAAAGGAGGGAGGGAGGGATGGAGCTTGTATCTCAGTTTTTTCTTAAAAGCACTTTTTTCATGATGCCAATTTACCATTTGAAGGAGTCCCAAAATCCAGACTCATTCTCATTTGTTCCATCACTCAGCAAGTCTTCATTCACCATGTCTGCCTTCTTCTGAACCTGCAATCATATGGGATAACCATCTTATTCTTCTTGGTTGTCTAATAGGCACAGAATTGCTTTTCACCAGATGTACACTGTGAGTACAGTAAACAACAGGGAATTATCAATCAATTCTTCCACAAGCAGGCAAAACCAGACCCAGAGTCTCAAAGTATTCAACAGAAGTATTTTCTCCAGGATGCTCACCCCAGACACTTAAGTGAGAAGACATCAATCTCTTTTATTAGACAGTAGCCATTTTCAGCTTGCAAAATGGGCAAAGAACCTCAAACTCAACTGTGTAGGAAATAGTCTGAGTAGAACCAGAACACGATTCGCTGAGTGAACAGGCAGTGCCAGGGGATAGTGCCGCCTGCCAGGGCTCCAGCTGCCAGGAGGGAGGCATTTCACGTCACAAGTTTTTTTTTCCAGGATCTCTAGCTGAGTCTTCTCAGTAGCACAGTGACCAGTTTTCTGCTCAACTATCCGTGGTCTACTTTAGATTTCACTGCATGTAATGATCATTCATTTCATAATATATTTTACATTAAGTAATGGCTAAGTAGAAGTGAGAAGAAATTAAAGTACCATTTTATTGTTGCTGAAATTTTCATTGGCATTCCCCAATTATCTAAGAATCTTTAATAATTCTATTGATGTTGCTTTATATGCAACACAGCAGCTATGAGAACATTTTACATAAAATGTGATTTGCATTGCTCACTGAGATTACCCAAAAGATACAACTCTCATTTGAAGAAAGCCTCAAACTGACATTTATTAATACAAAGACAATTTGCCTTAAAGAAGCTTCCTACAATTGCTACAGTTAATTCCAAAGGGAGTTTTGGGCTGGTCTCAAGATACATATTTTTACATTGTAGCTACCAAAAATAACAGAATACTGCTATTTATACCAACCATAAAAGAGTGGCTGCCTTAGCATACCAAACTTACCTTCACTTTAATAATTTTGCTTTTGAAGTTGTTGAGGACAATAACAACCTCATCAGCATCAGCAGGAGAATCTGTACCGTCGTGGCTTAGAGAGACAAGCAAGAGAGATATCATAATCACAACTCTCAAAATTCAGTACTGGTCTCAGAGCAATCTGCCATATTTATCCATCATCTTTCTCATAAAGAAGTCTTTCAGAATAAATAACTTTCTTTTTCTTTTGGGTTTCATTTTTTTTTTTTTATTTTAGAGACAATGTCTCACTGTATTACCCAAGCTGGTCTTAAACTCCTAAGCTTGAGCTATCCTCCCAACTCAGGCTCCCAAGTAGCTGGGACTACAGGTACATGTCACCACACCAGGCTAATTTACTTATTTAGTTAGTTAGTTATTTACAGATGAGGTCTTGCTACGTTGCCTATGCTAGTAGAACAAATCACTTTCTCACAACCTGAAGGGAGCCCCATCAAGCTACAAAGAAGCACCTGTTAAAACCTTTACCTTCATACACATTGCGTGTCCAAACTTCCCTCATGAGTCCTCCTTCAAATTATCTATCACCAGGGAGAGGCCCTCAGGCATGGTGAGCACTAAACAACTGTCTGTGTTCGCAAGGTGTGAGTCAAACACAGCGCCCTCAGTAAAGGAGCACGATAGGATGGGCCACCCTGAACCACCACTGGAGCCCCACCACTCTACGCTCTAATTGGAACAGTGCTGTAATGCAACCTACTACTCTCTCTTCTGCCTGGAGCCAAAGTCAGTCAACTGAAGGTCTTGTACTCAACCTGGCACCTTCACGCTATAAGAATAGCTATAACCAGCTCTACTGGCAGGCACACAGGAGGAGAGGAGGAAAAATTAAAAATGTTTATCTACTAACCCACAGTAATGCCTAAAATTTTCAGTCACCAAATTTCAAGGTGCAGAAAGTGACAGTAACAATAGGAAGTCACTATGTTTGCTGTCATCTAGCAGACAGCAGAGTTGCAAGGCAACGTATGAGTCTGACAGGAGAGTCCTAAAGTATGAAACACTTGAGGCACTGGGAATGTCCACCTGGAAAGCACAGGAGGACGAGAGCCCTAGACAGCCAGGATGGGAGCTGGGGGCACCACACTCCTGAGTGGAACAAAAGCATCATTTCATCACACACAACTGCAAATGAAATTTGTGATGCCTCACTAACTGCCCTAGTAGTAGCAGTTAGAGCTGGTTCTCATTTCAAAATGTTCTGGAGAAATGTACCTACATAACTTAATCCTACCTGTAGATTCTATAAATATCCTCAGAGCGTCCCTTTCTGAGTCTGAGAATCCAAGCTCCTGGGTTGGCTTTTAGCTGAAAGTAGCCCTAGACCAAGAAGAAACACCAAATTTTAGTTCTGTTTCTGAGGGATAGTTACTTCTTTTAATGAAATATCAGTCACTTATAATGTAGATAACATGGTAAACAAATCAGTGCAACTCTCTAAAACCAAAAAACAAACAACAAAAAAACTACACATTAGAAACTCTAGCAAAATGCAGGCCAGTCAAGCCAAGAAGTCTGCCTTTTATCTGTACTTCAGTGAAGAATCAATGTGTGATGTGTGAATAAGCTGTGAATGTCCAAAGAAAAAGGCTGTGAGCTCATGAGCAATCCATTTTCAGGGACCAATTTGGTTAGAGCAGAGTATTCCATCATGTTTTTCTTTTAAGCTGACATGTAATTCTAACCTACAAATTTACCTGAACTAATGATTTTGATATAGACCAAATTCAGTCAATTATGAATTTTAGTCTCACTCAATGGTTAAGATTGCTCCATCATAAACTGTAGTGCCCAAATTAAAACTGCAGTATCAGTATCTAAAGAACTAATTATTTACCAGATTGGCCATAACAATGGTATCCACGACGACAGGGTTGGCTGACGTTCCTAAGGTAAACTGTAGTCCTCGGGGGGGTTGGCCTGTGGTGATGTCATAGCAATGACCTTCCAGTAACAGGTACTCCAGCTCATATTCGGCAGCCACTATGCCGTCCACCTGCAATATCAAAATTAATGTCTTGAAGACTACTCAGCAACAACATAGATAAATCTGAAAAGCATTTTGCAAAGTGAATGAAGCAGACAAAAAGGATTTATTATACATATTGGATTATCATACTTTTTTTTTTTTTTTTTTTTTTGAGACAGAGTCTCCCTTTGTTGCCAAGGCTAGAGTGAGTGCCGTGGTGTCAGCCTAGCTCACAGCAACCTCAATCTCCTGGGCTCAAGCAATCCTGCTGCCTCAGCCTCCCAAGTAGCTGGGACTACAGACATGCAACACCATGCCCGGCTAATTTTTTCTATATATATTAGTTGGCCAATTAATTTCTTTCTATTTATAGTAGAGACAGGGTCTTGCTCTTGCCCAGGCTGGTTTCGAACTCCTGACCTTGAGTAATCCACCCACCTTGGCCTCCCAGAGTGCTAAAGTTACAGGTGTGAGCCACTGCTCCGGCCTGGCTGATCATACTTTAAGAACTTTGAGAAAAGGCAAAACTATGACAGAAAACAGATCATTTATTGCCTGAGACCAGGCAGGAGGAAAAGGGATTGCCTGCAAAGGGGTACAAAAGAACTTTTTGGAGTGATAGAAATGTTCTGTATCTTGACTGTGGTGGTGGTTAATCACCGCATACAAATATAAAAACTGGGTTGGAAAGAGAAAGGAGAAAACCAATAAGGATGTCATTCCAAAAATAAGGATGAGAGGACAAGACTCTAAACATTGTTAAAAGAAATTAAAGAACTAAATAGAAAGATATATCCCATATTCATGGATCAGCACAAACGTGTACTCAATGTTCATAGCACTGTTATTCATAATAGAAAAAAAGCAGAAACAACCCAAATATCCATTCATGAATGGATAAATTAAATTTGGTATATTCATAAAATGGAATATTATCTGGCAATTAAAAAAAATAAGTACCGATGCATACTACAACATGGATGAATCTTGAAAATAATTTGTTGAGTGAAGGAAGCTAGTCACAAAAGATCACATACTGTTATCATTCTATTTAGACAAAATTCAGAATAGGTAAATCTACAGAGAGAGAATGTCAATCAGTAGTTGCCATGGGCTGGAGAGAATGGGGAGTAACTTCCACAGGATATGGAGCTTCTTCTGGGCATGATGAAAACATTCTAAAATTAGGTCACAGGGATGGCTGGACAACTCTGTGAATAAATAAAACCTCTGAACTGCATACTTTAAAAAGGGAAATTTTATAGTACAAGAATTATATATGAATAAAGCTGTTATTTTAAAAAATATCATATCTGAACACTGATGTCTCAGAGGCCCACCTACACTATGATTGAATCTGTTCAAAGTCTACCACTACTACATCATAGTTTTTATACATAATTAGATATTTGGAAACAATGATAGTCTTACCTCTTCTAAATAAACATTATCAAGATCATATGGCGTTCTCACAGATTCTACCATCCAGCTCTCAGGTGTGTTCAAATTCAGAGTGAACAGTGGAGACTGAGGCATATCCAAAAATTTTGCTATTGGGCCCTTAGCAAAGCTACTGTCTGAAGTGAAAGAAATCTCTGGTTCTAAGACATAACGGTAAAAGCTGAAATTAAAAAGGAAAGTGTTAGATTTTTCTGTGTGACCACAGTCCTTCAATTTATATAGTTAAACAACTGCCTTAAAACAAACTAGATCTGGAGGGGGTTATCATTCCAAATTGGAAAAGTATTTCAAAAATCAGCTTTTGACCTAAGAATGTCTCCTGCAGTTGCTACAGATGCAAGAAAAGGCAAAGAGGGACAAGACAGGGAAGGCTATTCCTTGATGAGCATGGCTGCTCTCAGGGCCATAAGCATTCCCAAAGTACTTTTCTCCCTTCGAGAAGAATTCATTTTTCTCTTAAAAACCAAGTCGTACATACTGATTGGGATCTCAGACTAGCCCTGCAAACACTGTAATAATTTAAACATTTCTCCCATACAAGGATGATGATGGAAGCTGGAAACCCTTGGTCACTTGCAAACACAGTTTCTTTATTTTTTTTTTCCAGAATATTACAGGGTACAAACGCTTTTGTTACATAAATTGCCTTTGCACTGCCAGAATCACAGCTACAGGCATGCCCATTCCCCAGACAGCACATTCCGCACCCATTAGGTGTGAATTTAGCCATCCCTACTCTCCTCTCGCACCTGACAGATACCTGATTAATGTTACTTCCATATGTGCATATTTCTTGATCTACTAGTACCAATTTAATGGTAAGTACATGTGAACTGTTTCGATATACTTAGAGTTTAAATATAGAACACTGCATATTTGCAAGGTAAGAATTTCCCATAGTCACAATATATGCTACACTATTAATTGCTTTTTGCATTACTTTTTCCATAAATGACCATTCCAAAGCTCTTAACAATATCTGGGTAAGCCTGTCCTCTTTTTTTTTTTTTGAGACAGAGTCTCACTTTTGTCGTCCTGTCTAGAGTGAGTGCCGTGGCATCAGTCTAGCTCACAGGAACCTCAATCTCCTGGGCTCAAGCGATCTTCCTGCCTCAGCAGGAAAAAACTATATTTTTAGTTGATCAATTAATTTCTTTCTATTTTTAGTAGAGACGGGGTCTCGCTCAGGCTGGTTTCGAACTCCCGACCTCGAGCAATCCGCCCGCCTCGGCCTCCCAGAGTGCTAGGATTGCAGGCGTGAGCCACCGCACCCGTCCCTGTCTTCTTTTTTGAGATAACTGCAAAGAAGCCTAAGCAAGCTTCCTCTAACACATATATTCGAACTTCAAATGACTACTCTTCTTTTAAGATGAAAAGCACAAATGCAAGCAGCCTGGGTTAATGCCACCTCAATGCTCCCATACCCTATCTTCTAGAATTTCAGACCAGAACAAGTATTTGGCAAAACTGAGCATTTAGTAAATGACCTTTCAAAACTAACATTCAGCTATAAACCTGTTTGATCCTATAGCATTCAATATCTAAGCCTTCAGATTCGGTACCATTTTTCAATTGTTTTCTTAAATATCATGTTTTACCTTTTTAAAGGCATGTCGGAAAGTTTAGACTGGCAGTTCATAAATACTCTCAGGTTCATGTTTATCAGTTGAGTCAAAACCTAAAAGAGCAAACCAGATGACAAAATATTTAAATTTATTATTCAGAAACTGATTATTTGATACTAAATAATAAATTATACACTCAAAGTATTCTCTTTTAAGAATGAATATTTCTTAATATCTCAAGAAAAGATATAAGGATAACTGCCATAAAGTCTACAGTGGAGAAATTTCTGGAAATCACACTAGTGCAGAATCTAAATCACACATACATGTGACTTGGCCAAAAATAATGGGAAATAAGCTACTGCAGGTCACTGCCCGTCACATAAAGAAATTCAACACATGGCTCTGGGGAACTAGCAGATAGATAATGGATATGGATTTATAAAAGGAAGACATAAGGACTCATTGTCAAAGCTCACGTTAAAGGATATAAAAAACACACATATAAATACCAACAAAAAAGGTTAGTTGATTATATACCAATAAAAGTGTTACCTTAAAGAAATATAACTAAAAGAAATGCTATAGTGGCTATGTTGTCAGAGCTTTTAAGTATCCTAAAATTACTAACAAGTTATAGATGTTTAAAAGATATGCCATAACAAAAATCCATGGTAGGTATAAAAAAGGAAAATGAAAAAGACTTCTTTTTTTTTTTTTTTGAGACAGAGTCTCCATCTGTTGTCCAGGCTAGATGCTGTGGCGTCAGCCTAGCTCACAGCAACCTCAAACTCCTGGGCTCAAGCGATCCTCCTGCCTCAGCCTCCCGAGTAGCTGGGACTACAGGCATACACCACCATGCCCGGCTAATTTTTTTCTGTATATTTTTAGTTGTCCAGCTAATTTCTTTCTATTTTTAGTAGATATGGGGTCTTACTCTTGCTCAGGCTGCTCTTGAACTCCTGAGCTCAAAGAGTGTTAGAATTACAGGCGTGAGCCACTGCGCCAGGCTGAAAAACAATTGTTTTATACCTCTTTGCCATTATAAATTAAAATGTAGCATAGACCAACTTAATTCAAAGATGTTTTGTTCTAAGCTAGGGTATGGTTGCACCTGCCTGTAGTCCTAGCATTCTAGGAGGACAAAGCAGAAAAATCACTTGAGTACCAGTGTTTAAGGCTACAGTGAGCTATGATCGCGCCACTGCACTCCCACCTGGGTAACAAAGCTAGACTCTGTCTCTTTAAAAAAAGAAAGATATTTTGCTCTAAATGAGGATGTTAAACATTTTTTCCATTACATGAGACAGCTCAACCAAACTAGCACCAACTTCCTAAGGTTCTGACAGCATCGTCAATCTTTATGGAGACTGCTCTGCCCAGGATGCTCTATAACACTGTCCACTGCCCTGGGAAGATGACTAAGGAGAAGGACGTGAACCCCTCAGTGAATCAAGGAAATGTGACTCCTTCAGATAAAGGTGCTCTAAACTGCCTCTGCAGCTGTCTTACCAAGAGCAACGGGGCAAGCCTCTGTGCTTCTCTGGTGACAGGGTCAACGACAGCCACCACATCAAAGTATATCTCCCCTTCCTTCGGCCTCAGTTTAACTGCACTACAAAGATCAAAAGGACAAAACATTAACATGGAGGAAACAGGAAACAAAGTTAAGTTGTAGCTTTTTTGGTCCAACATAAACTATCAGCCTTCTTAGCATTTCAAAAACTTTAGATCTACAACTAAGCAACAATGGTGGCCAACTATGTGATTATGTCTACCCCAAAGACTGCAAAATCCTAATCACTCAGGCTCACTTGAAATGAACTGAAAGATTTGTGCAAAGAGAGGAAAACCAGCTTGAAATTGTATTTAACCAAAAACTGTTAAAAGATACTCATGGCAGCTTCTGATAGTTATTGATTATTATACCAACTTTTACTTCCTGGCAAGAATCTGAGGAGAGAAGAAATAAATCAATTTTTAAAAAATAATAAAAGAATCTTAAGAACATTCCAGAAAAACCGCAAAACAGAGAAAAAGGAAAAATAATAACCACAAAATCTCGCTATCCCAGCTCAATCACTTAGCTGTATCTCTATATAATCCTTTCTAGATACTTGTATAAAAATTAGCTGTAATAACCACAGAATATTAGCAATTTTAAAACAATTTCCTTCCCTCCCCCACCACTTTAGCATCAAGATTTGCAAACACTGTTAAAGCAGCAAGCATCCTGAATAAAAAATGATATTTTATTTACTAAATGAATCTGCCATAGTTTACGTAAGCTTTATTGCTGGACATTAAGATGGCTTTTGATCTCTAAACAATTTGTACTTCCAACTTTCTCCATATTTGGAAATTTCTTTAGACTCAAAGAAGTGCTGAACATGAGATTATGGAGTCTTAGGATATAAATATTTTTGTGGCTAATATGTACTGTCAGCCACATTTCCTGGAGAACTAAACCAACTTATAAGGCCAAAAAATTAACTTCCTTGTCAGCATTTAAGTTAAACATATTTTGTCAGGTCATAAGAAGTGAACAGCAAGAGCTGATTAGGCTTCAGTTTGTACTTCTAGGGTTTCTGGGGAGAACATTCATTTACCCAAATGTAGCTTCCTGTTGCATGGCCTCCCTGCGAAGGCACACTGACTTAGGAGACCAAAGTGGAACAGGGCCTCTGATCCACTTTAAGAAGGAATAAACTTGAAAGGATTTAAAACTATACCTAATTTTCCAAAATCATTAATTGCTTAAATCAATACTTTGCTCTGAATAATACTTTAATGTGGTTTTATTACTCAAAAGCCTCCGATATGATCTGCTATTTGAAAACATTTATCCAATAGGATGAGTACAAAAGTAAAACACAAGACAGAATATAATCAATAAACTTGGGTAACTATAATTTAGACAATGATGAAGATTATTTCAAATCTTAACTGCTTTGGAAATACTCGTCGAAATAGCTTTCTGGCTGTGTCAGAGCAGATGTTTTCACTCTCTGATATAACAATTCCATATTCAATCAGCTACCAATGATTATTCCAATACAACAAAACCTTTTTTACTCCAATACAACTGTTCTCAAAGTGTGGCTCTAGAGCAACAGCAGCAGCTTCACCTGGGCACTTGTTAGAAGTACTCTGTCAGGATACAACACAGACTTACTGAATCAGAAACTCAGGGCACAGGTCCTGCAATCAACATTTTATTTATTTATTTTTTTTCTTTTTAAGCCTCAGAAGCTGTGCTAACAATCAGCATTTTAAAAAGCCAAAATTTGAAAGCTACTGCCCTAAAATGACCTGCACTTCTCTGCTACTCTAGAATTCTAGAAGGAAAACCTCATTAGAGAATAGCATTATAGAAATGCCCACAGTGAACAAGAGGAAGAGTCTCAAACAAAGCTCTACACTGGAGTATAACATCTGATCAGGCCTGCCCAAGCCAGGTTTGGGCACACGTTCATGTTCTGAGCCAGCACAGTGTTCTAGGTGACCAGCAACAGGACTACCCAGAAACTAACTCTGTGAGATCCTTTACTCACTTCCACATCTCTACAACAAAAAGATGGCAAGACAAAAACCAAAAGAGAAATACTGGGTGGAAACAAGAATAATATGAATTAACAGTATCATGTTTAAATATACTGGCTGTACTGGTCAGAGAAAGGGTCAAAATAAAGCCAAAAGTAACAGAGACAGGTCCAAGATTTGGAGCTCATACACATTTGCCCTGGGGTGAGCAGACCAAATGGCAAAGAATACTGTGCTTCACCAAAGTTACTGTACAGAGGAATCACCTGGGGAACTTGTTAAGCTGTAGACTCTGATTCAGCAGGTCTGGTGTGGGCCCAAAGCCTACATTTCCAACAAGCTCTCAGATGATGCCCTGCTGCTGGCCCATGGACCACACTTTGAGGGCAAGGGTGTACATAAGTGACAGTTCAGACCTTTTTATTTCTAGCATAAATGAGAAACTTCTGATTTAAATATAAAAAAATACTCATTTAACTAACACAACCCCAATAAGAATTTCTCTAACTATAATTATAATTTATCATAATAGAATTTATAATTAGGGCATTTTAATGATATAAAATTCATGGAGACTCATGAAGAAAAGGATGTTCTAAAAAGAGTAGACTTGGTCTTTGCTCAGGTCTTGGCCATGAAAGGCAAACAAAATGTTAGGTCAATGGGGAACTATTTCCTGCGAGAGAGTGAGTTAATTACTGAAAGTGTGCACAGTGTTGAAAAAATGAGTGCAATCTCGATGCTAATGGCAAAATTCAACAAGTATTAGCAATAAGTCACAGAAGTCTCCCTTATGTGGCAACATAAGAAATTAGAGAACATAGCCAGTGCAAACAGAGAGGGTCTGCATTGCAGCCTGAAATCATCAAACAGTCTGACTGCATAAATCTGACCCCTGTAAGGATTGGCTATGAAAAAACAAAAGTCCACTAAAACAAAGTCCAATTCATGCCAGGTCAGAATCAGAGAGGAGTGAGGCACAGGCATCTGTGTTTCACTAAACCTTGGGAATTCTGAGGTGCAATGAATACATGTACTTTCCGGGGAAGACAGGCCTACATACATTAACTGTGCAGGGTTCTCCTAAATAATTTAATCTGAGTTTAATCATGAGGAAACAACCCAGACTGTGGGACATTCCACAAGACAACTGGCCTGGACTCTTTAAAAAGGTCAATGTCATAAAACACAAAAGACAACCCTGCCCCATCCCACCCCCCCAAAAGGGCAAAGAATTCTTCAAGATTAAGAGAGACTAAAGACACACAACTAACCACAATGTGTGATCTTGACCAAAACAAACACAAAAGATGGTTGTAAAAGATCTTTACTGAGACATTGGAGAAATATGCACAGAGACTGTGTTTGCATATTACCGTACGAGGGTAAATTTTTGAGGTATGCTAACAGGGCTATGGAGAAAGTCCTAGTATTCAGGAGACATATGTTGAAGACTTTAGGCATGTTATGTCATGATGTTTTCAACATACCTTCAAATGGTACAGAATACAACGAATGCATGCGTATATGCAAACATATAAACATTATAAGGACTACACATGCACACAGATGACAGAGATAAAGCAAATGTGGCACCACAACAATTAGTGTAGGTGAAAGATATCTGGGTGTTCATTGTAATGGTCTTTCAATTATCTTTACTTTTCAAAATTAAAAAATGAACTGAAAAACAAAAAGGCAAGGACTTCCTCATAATGCTAAACTTATTTTTGCTTTATCAAAAACAAAAGTTTTTTTAAAATAATGAGTATGATAAGTGCTTTGATAATCTGTTTATTCCAGAATATAAGAAAATCACAACTGCTGTGTTTCATTAAATGCTGTTTTCTACTGAAAAGATGCACTCAGAATTATTTCAAAAGTATTTAGAAATAAACGTCAATTTTCATGCAACTGAGATCTGTATATGAATTTTACATACAAATACAAATACATATATACATGAAAACTGTATACCAAAGAAGCTTTCCATTCCCATAGAATATACAAACGTGGAAAAATAAAGGAGCTGAGGTAAAGTTTAATGTTCAAGAGTATGAACAAATTCAACATTAATTCTATACCTGTGTCTGTCTTCAAAAAACTGGTACTCAATTCTTGCATCTCCTTTTGGTTGAGCTGACAGGAGAGCATCCACCTTCATTACCAAGTCACTTGCCCTGAAAGATGGTGTTAGTGACATCTTAGCATCTCTTTAACTACAAGTTTTCATATGCCAAACATATTAGCCCAAATACTGAATGCTGACAAAATGGTTTGAAGAAGGTAAGAGTTCTGTTTTGACAAGCATGAGAAAGAATACTGATTTTGTAAGTAATTAGTTGTATAACTTTGAATAAGTTAGTCATTTTTCCATACATGAAATGGAGACAGCACCACGATCAAAAAGCACAGAACCAGGCTTCACAAAGCCCAGGACAACCCTGTGACTACGGGCTGAGTCAAGAATGAAAGCTGTGGCTGTAATAGAGGAGCCAGTCCCAGATGGAGCAGCTCTGGCACTAATGAAAACCCAAGGCAGGAAAGGTAATTCTAGAAAGCCTAAGAGTTTTAGCATGGGTCTTTTGGCAGCCCCAAGACTACCATATGTCCCTAAATTCACCCATTACAGACCCAGAACCATCTCTGGTTGGCACAAGGCAAGTCTTGTAGGCATAGTATGGCAATTATATAGTCCACAAAGCCTTCACACAGAGAGGGAGTGGCCCAAAGAGATGCCACACCAAGCCTATGCCTGTGACATGGTTGCTTCAAGTCATGAAGTACCTCCTGGCATGCATCAGGGAACCATTTCCTAGGCCAGGACAAGAGGCATCACTCAAAAGCTGCTGGGGAAGGAGGAGCCGCCTCATCTGAAGCCCTGGTATTGACTTAAATGAAAAAAGATTTCTAGGCCATGGCAGGAGAATTGCTTGAGGCCAAGAGTTCAGACCAGCCTAGGCAGCATAACAAGACCCCATCTCTATAAAAAATGAGAAAATTAGCTGGACATAGTGGCATGAGCCTGTAGTCCTACCTACTTGAGAGGCTGAGGTGAGAAGATCACTTGAACCCTAGAATTCGAGGTTACAGTGAACCATGATTGCACCACGGCTCTCCAGCCTGGGCAAGAGAACAAGAGTCTCTTAAAAAAAAAAGAAGAAAAAAAAAGATTTCTTCCCACATTGCCCAAGGCTTAGCAAAGGGACTACTTTGACAACTATTGAAATCAACACTCCACTAAAACATGGATCTTGAACTCTGTAGCATGATGGTGTATAAAAAAGATAAAGGGAAAAAAAACAGGAGAACTTTAAAATTTTAAATTCTCCAACTATACATCAAAGTACATGTCTCTATGGAATGGCAGAAAATATTTGTAAACCATATATCTGATAAAGAATTGATATCCATACAACTGTATTAACTCCCCTTAGAGGCAAAAAATTAAAAAAAAAAAAAAATTGATATCCAGAACGTATTTTAAAAAGTCCTATAACTCAATAACAAAAACCAGCAAACAATCCAATTAAAAATGGGCAAAGGACTTGACATTTTCCCAAAGACATATAAATAGCCAGTCTGCACATAAAAAGATGCTCACCATCATTAATCATTAGAGAAATGCAAACCAAACCTCAAAGAGAAACCCCTTCATACTGATGAGTAGGCTATTATTTAAAAAAAAACAAAACAAACAAAAAAAAACAGAAAATAACAAGTGTTAGTGAGGACATAGAAAAATCAGAAACACTGTGCACTGTTGGTGGGAATGTAAAATGGTATAACCACTGTGGAAAAAGGTATAGCGGTCCCTCAAAAACTTAAGCTTAGAAAAAGGGCTCCAACTAGACAGCAGATATACGGTCCATTCAAACAATTTATTTTCTTCCACTAAGAGAGATATATAGCACACTAATGTGCAATACCTCATAACATTGAGAGAATTAAAATCAAAAGCCATCATTGAGGATGTAAGAGAAACAAGTCAGTATTCTGCACTGGGAAATGAAGGAATAGACACATTTAATCTGCCTTTCCTTTCCTGAATAAAATAAAACTTAATGATAACCAAATAGATAATGAGGGAAAGTATCTCTTTACATAAGTATTCCAGGTTATAAATAAAAGCTTCTTCACTTCTACACATGTTTGAAATGTCCCATATCAAAAGTTTAAAAAAAAAGCAAACTAATTGAGTTCTTTAAATATCAGCCTATGAAATAAATCAGCTTGCTTCAACAGAAACATAAATTAAAAGAGCATTATTATATTTTAAAGTTAGAAACAAAACAAGTTGGGATAGGTAGCATAAGCGACAATATATAATCCTAACTTTGACCAATGAGGAAAATACAATTACTACAGCCCCTGTGGCATAAGCTAATTAATTTCTTCTATGACAAAACTTACACATCTTCTTCTACCCGAAGCTGTTGAATATGAGATTTTATTTTCTGTCCTGAAGTTTTTAAGATGATGTTTTCTAGGAGGTGGAAATCATCTTGGTTAAAGAGCTCACCCTCTTCCAGTGGCCCGATGACCTGTGGGGAGAGAAGCGCAGGCGGTCAGAGCCGAGAGCTGCTCCGGCGGCAGCTGTTGAAGGAGCCCCCTCATCGAGCTGGCTGGTACACCCGTGCACCTTACAGACCAGACACATGTATGCTCTAAATAAAATCCGTGCAAAAATAAAATGTGAAGCATAAAACAACTCAGTTATTTGTTTACTTACTAATTCCTCAGGGACATAGAACATGGACTTGAACACTTCACCTTATTTTTACAGTAAGCAAACTCTAAAGTAAAATCAAATAGCAAGGTAGTTTTCATTAACTCTCACTGAATAACACAGCCTACTTGATATGTCAAGGCTGTGCTGACTTATGTTCTGAGAGCCATCATACTCTGAACCGCTCCCACAATGGCTAGATACAAACAGCAGGAGGGCTCTGCACAGGAACATTCATGGCCAAAAGCACACTTCCCTGAAAATAAAGTGGCAGAGACATTATCAGCACTTTGTAAGCCCTAATCACTTTTGAAAACAGAGTGGCTCTGATTGAAGGGTTTACTAGCTTCAGAGGAGAATGCTGCAATGAGTGCTCACTGATCTAATGTGAAATCAAGTTCACAAATCCTCACCCTTCCATTGCTGATCACAGCCCTCTGTCCCTTCTTCAGCTTCAGAACTTCTTTGCAGTATATGGCATGAGATAAAATGAAATCCATTTTGGAAGACTCAAAGACCTCCTTAAAAAGACTGAAATCCATGCCCTAGGAAAGTAAACGTTATTAAGGAAAAGTGAATATTATTAAGCAAACCATATAAATAAATAATCACAGTAAATAAACCATACAATGCTCCTTTACTGGAAAGTAATAACCAAGTTTCATAATTAACATTATGATGTCTCAAATCTCCATTCTCTACCATTTCTCCCTCTCTACTTATGAAGTGTTATCTTCTTTTCCTATTTTTTCAAGTGATTTGTAAAACTGGCACACTATTCTTAACAATACCCTGAATCTGCATTTTTAAATCTTGCTAATTTCCAGTGACAGCCTTTTTTTCTAACTGAAACTTCAAGTACTATATACTCATCATTTTATAAGAAATTTTAAACTATGAAACTCTGACAAAAAATAAGTAACATTATATAAATGAATAAACATGAGTTTATTTTGGAAATATATAAAGAACATATAAGCCTCTAACTCAAATGTAACTCAAATTTCAGTTTTTGGTCTATAAACAAATCAAATATTGTCTGTTTTTAAAAATCTGTACAAAACAAATGGCTTTGTACTTAAAACACACATTAAGTTATGTGCATAGGCAAGGAGAGTGTGACAGAATTATTTCTTGAAAAGATTTTTCAAAATTAGAAAAAAACATATCCTGTGAAACTCAGAACTAAAATGACTAATCCTGATCATGAACAGGGCACGTGGGCACGAGGAATTGAACTTGTGCAGCAAAACATAACCAGGCAGCCTCACAAAAGGCTCAGAGAATTACCCCGACAGAGAACTCTGCGATGTCAGCTCCTGCAGCCAGGGCCTCTGCAGCCTCCTCCTTGGCCATTTTGGTGATGAAGTTCTTGGCAGAGTTGGAGGTCTGCGTTTGGAGAGCTGCCCAGATTGCTCTGGAGATCTGAGTGTTTTCATAGCTTATCTCTTCACTAGGATTATTGATCATGCTTATTCTAATATTGTTACTGGATTTCTGTTTACAAAATGGGAAATAAGAGTTAGATGTAAGATGTTTCAAATTTAAAAAGCAGCATTAACATCAGTGATGTTCCATAAGCAGCAATCTCTCTCTTAAAAGTCTTCAGTAGTTCTCCTCTGCATTCAGAATGAAATTCAAATGCTATAGTCAAGTATTCAGACCCCTACATGAACTGGACCCCAGCATACCTTTTCTACCTCATTTCTTACCATACCTGGAAATACAGCATATATTACAGACCATTGGAATCCTATCTTTCCCCAAAACACTTTAGAATCTAACACATCATGCTTCACGCTGCCATGCTAAGCCCAGCTACATTCCATATTTACTTTTTTTTTTGAGACAGAGTCTCACTCTGTTGCCCGGGCTAGAGTGCCGTGGCGTCAGCCTAGCTCATAGCAACCTCAAACTCCTGGGCTCCAGCAATCCTCCTACCTCAGCCTCCCAAGTAGCTGGAACTACAGGCATGAACCACCGTGCTTGGCTAATTTTTTCTAAATATTCTTAGTTGTCCAGCTAATTTCTTTCTGCTTCTTAGTAGAGATGGGTCTTGCTCTCACTCAGGCTGGTCTTGTAATATCGTGGATTGCAATATCGTGGATTGCAATATCGTGGATTGTAATATCATGGATATTACGATTGTATCCACAATTGTAATATCGTGGATAAATCTCACAAAAAGTTGAGCAAAGGCTGTGCGTGGTGGATCACACCTGTATCCTAGCACTCTGGGAGGCCAAGGCAGGTGGATCATTTGAGCTCAGGAGTTCGAGGCCAGCCTGAGCAAGAACGAGACCCTGTCTCTACTAAGAAATAGAAAGAAATTAGCTGGACAACTAAAAATATAGAGAGAAAAAATTGGCCGGGCATGGTGGCACATGCCTGTAGTCCCAGCTACTTGGGAGGCTGAGGCAGGATTGCTTGCGCCCAGGAGTTTGAGGTTGCTGTGAGGCTGATGCCACGGCATTCTAGCCCGGGCAACAGAGTGAGACACTGTCTCAAAAAAAAAAAAAAGTTGAGCAAAAAAACACCAAATGCAAATGAATACATATTATAAGATCCCACTTAAATAACATAAAATACAGGCAAACCCATTCTATGATGTGAGAAGAGGGAAGAGGGAGCAGGTAGTGACTAGGCACAAGCAGAGAGGACTTTCTAGAGTTTGTTAACCCTCTACTTTTTTTGCCTGAATGGTGGTCACATAGGTGTGTGCATTTTGGGACACTGTTATCCCTGTGATTTATGTACTCCTTTGAACCTATTGTACTTCAATTAAAATATTTATTTTAAAAATTCAACTCTCCATCCCTTTTCTCCCAGCCTACTACCACCTGAGTCTTTCTTTTTTTTTTTTTTTTTTTGAGGCAGAGTCTCACTCTGTTGCCTGGGCTAGAGTGCCGTGGCGTCAGCTTAGCTCACAGCACCCTCAAACTCCTGGGCTCAAGCGATCCTACTGCCTCAGCCTCCGGCGTAGCTGGGACTATAGGCATGCGCCACCATGCCTGGCTAATATTTTCTACATATTTTTAGTTGACCAATTAATTTCTTTCTATTTTAAGTAGAGACAAGTATTGTTCTTGCTTGGGCTGGTTTGGAACTCCTGACCTTGTGCCATCCACCTGCCTCGGTGTCCCAGAGTGCTAGGATTACAGGCATGAGCCACCATGCCCGGCCCACCATCTGAGTCTTTATCTGGTGGCATTAGAGTGCCTTTCACGTATATCTATCACCCTTCACTAGAAATGCCCTGATCTAACTTTAAATTCACCATGGTATATCATCCGCTCACTTGGACAATAAAGGAACTCGGCACATTAGTAAAACTTAAATCACTTGGATATTTCCTCATTTCAGTAAGCTTTCCTGTGCACAGGGTGGAAAAGGGACAAAAGGAGGGATGTGATGTTGGGAAGAAGCTACAAATTGAAACAGCTCAGGAAAAAGAATTTGACATGTCATCCTCTGACAATGACACTCTATAGAAGAATCAATCTTCTCAATCACTCACCATTGCCATTCACTCAATTCCTACTACTCACGTGCAGCCTATCTTTCAGACCATCTACATGTGTCTCTTCTGCTTGCTCGGATCTACTTCTACTACACACACATTACTGTTCCTGTGTGCTGCTGCCCCCACATCCAGACCTCTCTCAGTGTCAGGTCCCTCTCTCTCCCTAACACACACAGCATGATCGCTGCAGTGCCTCTGCAGCAAGAATGTGAAGGATCATGCAATAAAAACTGGCCTATGGTAAGGATCTCAACATTATTTTCTCTAAAAGTACCTATTCCCTTAAATAAAGCCAAAATATTATAGTCTTTGATCTCTTTTCTCAGGAGCTGGTGACACAATGCTCTGAAGACACAATGCTCCTTTTCATCAAGCACTAAGAAAGTAGGACTCCCAACTCTCAACAATCACATCAGCGCAGAGATACCATGAAGATACCTGTAGACTCAAACAAAAATACAGAATGAATTCATATACTTGCCTGATGTTTAATAGCATCATACAATAACTGCCGTCCAGAAGAGCTATCAAAATCCCCAACAATCCAAAAAGTTACTGGCCTAATAAAAGAGTCATCTATAGAAAAACAAAAATAACAAATTGAGTTGAAGAAAAAAAAACACATTATGTGTTCCAACACTACTGTTATACCAAATAATTTCTGAAAACCATGCATAAAATTTAAAAATGACAAGTTTAAAGATACAAAGCAAAAGTAATAAAACTTCTCTACTAAAATTAAAGCAAGGGAACTTTCCGTGTAAATTAATTACAAACTAGGAACATGCACTGATTAATACTAGTCTGCACATTTGTTAGCATGATGAAATGAAAAAGAGCCTTTGAACATGTGGGTAACATATGATAGTCTTTAATCATATTAATTTGTAACTTTCTGAAAACTAATTCTTTACAAACATTTATAAAAAATTTAGGCCGGCCGCGGTGGCTCACACCTCTAACCCTAGCACTCTGGGAGGCCGAGGTGGGCGGATTGCTCGAGGTCAGGAGTTCGAAACCAGCCTGAGCAAGACCAAGACCCCGTCTCTACTATAAATAGAAAGAAATTAATTGGACAACTAATATATATAGAAAAAATTAGCCGGGCATGGTGGCACATGCCTGTAGTCCCAACTACTTGGGAGGCTGAGACAGCAGGATTGCTTGAGCCTAGGAGATTGAGGTTGCTGTGAGCTAGGCTGATGCCACGGCACTCACTCTAGCCTGGGCAACAAAGCGAGACTCTGGCTCAAAAAAAAAAAAAAATCTCATGGCTATCGAACACGTTAACAACATGGCTCCACCCTAATAATCATGCTGTAAAGACACAAAGTTAATGAATAACATATATCTCCCACGAAACTATCATATGTGGACATGTCGGTTAAGTGGCTGAAATTCATGCTAATCCTATTCCTGTCACTTCACAATGGGAGAACAATCTCTTAAAGAGATCCTTTAACTTATCTCTGCCTTCTCTAGGCCATCCACTAGAGTAAGCTCTTTCCTATCTTATTTGGGAGAGGTGGGAGAAAAGGGAGAAAAAATTTAAGAAAACTTTGATTTTTATTTTTCAAGTCTAACAAAATAACTTTTTAAAACTTTAATAGAAACAAAAGGCCATATTCACTCTTTTTAGATATGGATCTTCTCCAATTATGATTAGTTCCAAAGACAATGCTCTTATTAATCATTTTCCCTCAGATTACTCTTCCTAAAATTCCAGGTTCACAAAGTCATTCTCTTGCTCTAAGCTACCCATTAATTTCTCCCTAGCTACAAAATGGTTTCCAGTATAAGTATCATAAACCCTCTATCTATAGCATCTCCCCAATTATAATCATTAGTCCACCCTAATACAAATGTCACTCTTCTCATCAGAGCCAAACACAGCTTGTTGCCCACATACCCATCTATTCATCTCTGCACCCACTGGCCCTTCTAGCTTATTGTCCAACAATGCATACTGAGTGCCGAGTATCCCCCCAGTCAATATTCTACAGAAAAAAAAGCACTGGTAAATCAGTCAGACACAATCCATGACATCATGTGGGGAGGAAGAAAGAGCACCATGGCCATAAAAGTGAATAGTACCCGTCTTAAAAAAAAGGTCCCAGGAGAGCCAAGGCCAAAGAAGCCTGAGTGATAGTGCTATCACCAGCAGGTTAGGGGGACACCAGCTCTTCCTCATTGATATCTGCACTGGGTATCTCTGCCACTGTGGACTAGCATCATTTCATAGGTTACTGGTACAACCTCAGTGGAAAAGGAAATCCAAGAAAAGAAGCACTACTATGCTCTTTATTCATGTGTACTATAAAAAACAACCCTTCAAATTTAATTTTAAATGATGGAAACAACAAAAACTTAGCACAAAGAGTCACAAGTCACTTGCCTTGTTCTTTTGAAACTTCTGAAAAGCTAAAATCTAGCTGTGAAGAAACAACTTAGCTCACTTTCTGAGTAGTTTCTTTTTTAAATATACACCTAAATTTACATGTTCCTCTTAAATAAGCTTTCCCTCTGCCTAAAAAAAGTTCAGTTGCAGGTAAATTAGAGATAGTGCCATAAGGTAACAACCATAAACAGACTTATATGTTCATTATACTCAACTATAACAACAAATACAATCAGTTACTATGCTACCATTACACATCACTTTTCTTCTCTAGTGATATTTCAAGGCGAATGATGATAGCTCTGCCTTATTTCCAGGTATTTGCTGAAAGGGCCTTCAGAATCTCAATGGAAAGCACAAGGAATAAACAGCACCTGGGCTTAACATACCTAACTCTAGCTCTTAAAGTTTTCTAGTGGAAAACACCCAAATGTCCAACAACTGAGGAATAGATACATGTGTACTATCCACACAATGGACTTCAAAAAGGAATGAAATATTGATATATACTACAACATATGGATGAACCTTAAAAAACGACTAAATGAAAGAAGCCAGGCACAAAAGGCTTCTAACTATATGGAATGCAATGAATAGGCAAATCCATATAAACAGAAAGTAGATTAGTGGTTGCCAGGACATAGGGGAAGGGAGAAATGGAGAGTGACTACTAACAGGTACATGAGGTCTTTTGGGGGTGATGGTAATGATAGCACAACTTTAAGAATATACTAAAAACCATTGAATTGTACACTTTAAAACGCTGAATCTTATGGTATATACATTATAAATTGATGAGCCTGCAGCTTTTAAAAAAGGCATTCTTAGCTTCTCAGAGTGAAATTAACTGAGATATGTTGACATTATTGCTGATCAAGACTACAAAGAGGATAAAAAAAAAAAAAACAACTACTCTATGATTACAAGGAAGCTAAAAATCCAGGACCATGCTTACCATCAATTGCCGATTGAGGTAGCATTTACAAGGCAGTGAATATTTTTCAAAGTTTACAACATTTTACAAAGGAAGACCTTCTCTTCTCTAGGAGGAAGCTCTTGTGAATTTAGAAGCTCATACTATGAACTTAAGGTGCAACAAATTTAAACATAAAATTTGGCTATAATCTTGGGTTATCTTCTGAACATTACAATCCAATAAATGCAAAGATTCGGAAGCACAAATTAAAAAACAGCACAAAGTTGTTTCTGAAATGCTGCTTACTACTTGCTGTTAAATCCAGGTACTCTCGCTCAGCTGTCAAAATCCTGGAATTGATTCGGGGAACAACATTTGGCTGATTCATGATATACTCTACCACATCCTGATCATGGGACAGTTCACCCTACAGGAAAAAAAGAAGAGGGAAGGCAGCAATAAGTGAATTTTATCAATAATGATTCATTATGAACTTAAAAGTTATTAACTATACTAGTTTCTTGTGTGTTGATAACAGCTAAAGATTAAGTGACCATGTTATATAGAGCCCTGTCATTGCCAAGCACAGGCGGTTGATTAAAAACAGTACCTCTAACTCTTTGAACAATAAGAGACAGACATTGGACATGGCTTCTAGATTTTCACTGTTATAAAGAATGCTACAGTGAACAGTCTAATGTGTATTTTATACTAAGAAATGAAACGGTGCCAAAGGGTAATGCACATTTTAAATAAGGAACTAAATTCAAAATAGAAAGATATGTTATGCAGATGGTATGAAATTCACATGTTTAAGGAGAGGTAAATGAAGAGAAACTTTTACCTACTTACTCCTCATCCCTGCCACTCACGTTCTCTTCTGGGAGATAGTTACTCTGTGTGTGTGCATGTGTATGTGTCTGTGTGTGCTAGATCAAAAGGCACGTACTTTAAATTCTTGACATTCATTTTAAAGATGAGGAAGCTGAGGCACAGAAAGGTTAAATAACTCACTCAAACTCACAGAGCTAATGTGAAGTTCGTAAGAAATACAAATCTGTGTTTATTTGGTCTCTCCACAGACCATTATGCTTCCCTAGAAATAAGTAAGCTCCACAAATTACTTGAGAGTAAACACAAGCGGAAAGCCACCCTGAGACCTACTCACAGTTAGCTTCTTCCTACAGAAGAAAGCCAGAGATCTCTCAGAGAGGTAATATGCTTTGTTGTTTGTTTTTTTGAGACAGAGTCTCACTCTGTTGCCCGAGCTAGAGTGCCGTGGCGTCAGCCTAGCTCACAGCAACCTCAAACTCCTGGGCTCAAGCGATCCTCCTGCCTCAGCCTCCCAAATAGCTGGGACTACAGACATGCCCGGCTAATTATATGTATGTATGTGTGTGTGTGTGTATATATATTTAGTTGTCCAGCTAATTTCTTTCTATTTTTTTAGTAGAGACAGGGTCTTGCTCTTGGTCAGGTTGGTTTTGAAATCCAGACCTTGAGCAATCCTCCCGCCTCGGCCTCCCAGAGTACTATTATTACAGGCAGTGAGCCACTGCGCCTGGCCATATTTGTACTTTTTTTTTTCTTTTTTTTGAGCCAGAGTCTCCCTGTGTTGCCCAGGTTAGAGTGCCGTGGCATCAGCCTAGCACATAACAACCTCAAACTCCTGGGTCCAAGTGATCCTACTGCCTCAGCCTCCTGAGTAGCTGGGACTACAGGCATGTGCCGCCATGCCCAGCTAATTTTTTCTGTATATTTTTAGTAGGCAAATTAATTTATTTCTATTTTTAGTAGAGAAGGGGTCTCGCTCTTGCTCAGGCTGGTTTCGAACTCCTGACTTTGAGCGATCCTCCCACCTCAGCCTTCCAGACTGCTAGAATTATAGCACTCTGCAACACCAAGACCATAGGAAAAAACAAGAAGACTTTTGGATCCATGCATTGAAGAAAATCTGTTCATTCATTAGCTGAACAATAAGCTAAACAAGCAGAGACTTCAGAGGCCATACAGGACAAAGAAAACAAATTTTTAAAAATTTATTCAGGAAAATCACCAAATAAGTAACAGCTGCAACAACAATAAATAGCAAAAAAACAAACAAACTCTGGTACAGTGAAGAATTCAATCTTTGGAGATGTCACATATTATTTAAAATGTCGAGTTAACAAAAATAATTAGTAGACATGCAGAAATAAATCTAAACATTGGACTCACTACACAAAAAAGTTACTTAAGGTATTTTCAATATATTAAGAAAACTAAAAGAAACTGTGTCTACCAAACTAAAAGAAAGTTTGAGACCTATGTTTCACCAAGTAACACCAATAAAGCAAAAGAAATTAGGGAAAACCACCAAATAAAAAATCTGGGCCGGGCGCTGTGGCTCATGCCTGTAATCCTAGCTCTTGGGAGGCCGAGGCGGGCGGATTGCTCAAGGTCAGGAGTTCAAAACCAGCCTGAGCAAGAGCGAGACCCCGTCTCTACTATAAATAGAAAGAAATTAATTGGCCAACTGATATATATATAAAAAAATTAGCCGGGTATGGTGGCACATGCCTGTAGTCCCAGCTACTCGGGAGGCTGAGGCAGAAGGATCACTCGAGCCCAGGAGTTTGAGGTTGCTGTGAGCTAGGCTGACGCCACGGCACTCACTCTAGCCTGGACAACAAAGCGAGACTCTGTCTCAAAAAAAAAAAA